AGACAGATAGGCAGACAGACAGACAGACAGGTAGAGAGGCGCCCGGGTGGCTGGCTGGGGGGCTTGCTGGGCTGGGGTGATTGGGGGAGATTTGGCTGGGGTGGGTGGGTGTGTCTAGGAGGGAGGGGGGAGCGGGGGCGGGGAGGGGCAGATGATGCTGTACATACACACAACGGACGGCGGCCTAAGCGAGACAAGGGAGATGCGGCGGGCAGTAGCTAGCTAGCTAGCTCACTCCTCCTACAGAGAATTGTCCATCCACTCCATTCTCACCCTTCTACCATCTCATCTACTGACTCTACTCATGCTGCGGACACGCACCATCCCCTCATTCTTGGTCATGCCTTTCCTCGATCACCTTCCATGTCCGTCGTCGACGAAGTGCTTGACTGTGACGAGCTGACAGTCAGAGTGCCACGTCGGTGGAGACAGCGCGAAAGAGGTCGGGACAGGCAGGAGACCGCAACCGATGCACACACACACAGTGCAGGGCAGGCAGGGCCTCTCACAGCGATAGTGCATCTGTACTCGCCTTGTCTTGTGGGATGGATGGATGGACATGAGGGAGGGACTGGCTCAGGAATGTGAGTGTGCGCTGCTACCGGTGTTGCCAGTGTCTGATCTGGGTGGCGTTGGCGCCTGCCGTGGCTCCAGATGGAAGTCATGATAGGTTCCGACGCTGCCGAGGTCGAGCAGCGGCAGCATTGGCGGATGGAGGGTAGCACAAAGAGAGAGAGGGACAGAAAGGAATGCAGCGCAGCGATCGCCACTGAGAAGAAGAGACGGGAGGCGGAGAGCAGAGAGGCGGGGGCAGACAGGTGAGTGTGTTTTGTGGTTGTTATAACCATAGCTGGCTGGATCGACCGGAGGGCACATTAGATCTAGGATAGGAAGGGCACGGCCTGCCTCGTTTTACATCCATGTGTGTGTCGCTGTCTCTCTCTCTATCTCTGTGTGTGTGTGTGTGTATGAGTGGTCGGCCATGTGGCCGCACACGCAATGCGATCGATGCCATGAACAAAGGTGGTGTGTAGACTTGCGTGTGCAGAGAGACCTCACAAACAAATGAACGAACGGGTGGACGGCTGTGGTTCAATAAGTCTCCGTCCGGCCATTCCACAAATGAGAAATGTTCTCGCGTCTGTCTGTCTGTCTGTCAGTCTGCGGAGCCAATTGCTCCCTCCCCGATGCAGGGCACATCCATCCATCCACACGCACGCAGACACACTCAAGTGTCTGTCTAATTGTCCTCAGTTGGCTGTACAGCGCACACACCCATCGCGGCCACGTGACCTCATTGTGCACCGAAAAACCACACACCACCTTCGCAAGTATATCTCTCCCCCCCCATCCCCCTGTGCGCAAAACAGACCGATTGATTATGCATGACGCCGTCAATGGCATTCACGAAACTCTCTCTGTCTGGCCGGCGCTGCGCAGTCGACGATTGCCACCCCCAGGTGACATCGAGAACAACGACGATAGCTCATCATCGTGTGTCGATAGACACGATGAGCAGCTGCCATCGGAGTCATAGACGGCATTTGGGATCGGCGACCACCATCGAAACGGCCAAGGCCGTGCACACGAAAGAAATGCCAGCCAAGGTGGATGCCCACATCCGTCTCTCTCTGTCTGTCTGTGCATCCATGTGTGTGGTGGCTTGCCGTCCTGTCGGTTGATTCTCTGCGCCCCGTGGGCAACGTCACACCCTCGAGCACCGATGTGGCACAAGGAAGTCGCGTTCCAAACGAGGAAGAGATCCAATCGGCATGACGGCAGCAACAGAACGACACGATTGATTATCTCTCTCAAATGAATGAAATACTCTCTGTACTGTCCTGTACACCCCACTGAGACAGATAGACAGACATACGCACAAAATATCCCCGGGAAGGTCCGGGCCGTCAGGTGGTCAGTCAGTCAGGTGAGGCCCTGCTCCGTCGCCAGGGCCAGCACGGGTGCCGAGACGGTGTCGAGGTGAGTGGCGACGTAAGTGGCAATGCCGGCCATGTAGCCCAGGAAGGCCGGGCCGGTGATCCTCCTGGCGTACCACACAAAATCGACTTTCTCCTGGCCCATGTACGCCACACCTACACACACACACGCGCAAAACACACAATGAGACAGACACCTCAACAAAGATGTGGCGCACGTGTGTGGACGGAGCGTACCAGCAGCGCTGCCGATGATGAGAAGAGACCCCCCCGTGCCGGCGCAGTAGGCGATGAGTTCCCACAGCTGGCTGTCAGTCGGATACTGCGACAAGTCATACATTCCCATCGTCGCAGCCTGCACACACAACACAACACAATACAACACACGAAATCCATGACAACACACACCACCTCTCTCCCTCTCCCTCTCCCTCTCTCTTAGCTATGGGTGCGTACCACGAGCGGCACATTGTCGATGACGGCCGACACGATGCCGATAGCCGTGGCGAGGACGTCCTGGTTGGGCAGCGTTCTGGTCAGCCAGTCGGCCAGCTCCTGCAGGATGCCCGCCGAGTTGAGTGCCGAGACCGACAGGAGGATGCCGAGAAAGAACAGTATGCCGGCGTGGTCGATCTGCTGGAGGGCCTTGTCGGGTGTGGGGTTCTCCTTGAGGGGCTTGCCGGCATTGAGGATGTCCGTGATCAGCCACATCATCGCCAACGCACCCATCATGCCCAGATAGGGCGGCAGACCTGTCAGCTGCACAGCACAGAGGGAGAGAGAGGGGGGGGGG